GAAGTCCTTTAAAGACACGTTCTTAGGGGCAGTTTGTGACGGGAAATCCGAAAAAAGAAGTATAAAAAAGTTTTGAGCTGAGTGGAAAAGACTAGACAGGTTTTTCTCAAAAAATACGATTTTTGAGATTTTCTACCCGATCTCAGTTTTTTGCATTTTCCTCTTCAAAAAAGTGATCAAATCGAATTGAAAAGGTGATATTCGTAATCAGCACGAAATTCTGCATCGAGTGATGGGCCTTTAAGGCAAAAATAAAAACATGCTCCTCTTTTGAATTAGCCGCGCCTTAATACGACTAAATATAGTAGGAAGCATACATAATGCTAAGATTTTCTATAATGTTACGGATAAATGAAAAAACTTATTACATGAAGCGGTGCTTTAGTTAATTCGTCGAAGGTGCAAAATCTTCCTCGTGCACCCCCGCGCGGCGGAGGCGGGAATTTTCCGTTTTTGGGAAAATCTTTGACGTATTTCTGCGTGAACGTTTTGAAATTTTACTTTTCAAAACCTGAGAATTTGAGGACAAATTTGTCCGGGAGTGCGAACGCGACTGTTTCACGCAAGATTCTGCGCCTCTGTCATTCGTATTTGAATCATCTGTTGGAAATGAAATATCATGTTTTGGGAGAATATATTGCGGTGGAGGCGCTTTAGTCATTGTCAATCCATGAGACTGTTCAAATCGTCTCAGAAAATCCAGTCTTCTCTCATTACGAAATACAATTATTGGAGATGCTTTAGGAAGATTATCAAATGTAACCATTCCACCAGCCATTATTTCATTCGTCTTGTTATCACTAATATTTTTTAATTGTTCAGTTGTACATATTTCATACCAAATTGTCAATCGACGTTTCGATTCTTGAGGATAAATAACTCGATGAATACCTGCTTTCAATCGATTTTTTGTTATTCGAGATGCTCTTTCTCCTAACCAAATAACTCCAATATGTAATTCTAATGATCCATCAATCCATTCATCATTTATCATCTTTTTCAATTGAAGACCTTCATGTGTTGATAAAATACTAATTGAAAGTAATCCTGGATCATAATGTGGAACACAATTCACTTCTTCAGTTGATTCTCCATTTTGTGGTGGTTGAAAACCACTTTTATCATTAAAATAAGATACAATATCAAGCATACCAAAATGTTCATTTTTCAATGGTAAACGAGCTCGTTTAATCAGATTTGATAAAGATGGATGTTCTTGAAATACTGAATGTTGATCAAGAATTTCGATTAAACGCTTAGTGACAGCATCTAACATTTGTGAAAGATAATTTAATGGTTCAACAAGTGTCGTTGGTATTAATCCTTTATTTGCAAATTCCTGCAAATAACTTCCAGTCAATAGTTTGATTCCTTCTTTGTGATTAACTTTAGAATAACCATATATTGGTGAATACTTAGAGTACCAACTGTTTTTATTATCAGATTCAAAAGACTGCGTTAGTTGCTTGATTAGATCTGGATTTGGAATAAGTTCTTTTGGAAGAGAGACGAAACACCATCCATTTGATTGGAATTCTGTTTGCATTTGTTTTATTTCTGTAGTATCATTTGTGTTGAATATTTTGCTCAAATCGATAATAGTTTGTGATTTGTTGTTTGATGAAGACATGTTTTTGTGTACAATTCGTATGCTATGCTGAAATGTGCTTTTTTTATAAGTGTTATTATTCTGCAATCGCTTCACTTTATAAAGAGTGATTCTTGCACAACATTCTATTTTTTTATATAACGTTATTATTGGTGAACGTAGGCGTGCTTGTTCATGTCACATTCATAATGACGTGAGTGAAAGGAAAGGAAAGGAAAGGAAAAATATTAGTTCTACTATGATCCAATATGATCCAAATGATGAATCATCATCTATATTGTAGTGTGATGCGTCTGCATCATCATTTGTTTTCTTCAATCTTTTCGCTTCCGGTAACCCTGGTGGTGTGTGCTCAATAATTGTGTCAACAATGTCATCGTTCGACGGTGTCGAAGGTGTACCTGGAACAAGTATATCTGATATTTGGATTTCTTCACTTAATGGATTCAACGAGTTTAACGGATGGTCGTCAGACCCCACTAATTGTAAATGTAATTCAGATTGATTGCTAGCCATATTATTTGAGCAATTGTAGGTGACGGCTCAACGCAATAATAAATTATACTAGAAGGTATATCTTTTATACAGCTAGTTTGTCTTATCAACCAAAGATCAAATGTGTAGTGTCAACCAATACGAAATGAAAATAGTATATGATTTATTAATGTAGACCGGAAATGTAGCAAGAAAAACAAGATGAAAAGCAAAAAAGAAGAAAAACAAAAAATGAACTATTTAATGACGAGTGTGT